TTGTTTAGGCCTAGTACTATGACTACTAGTATTTCTCTAAGCATTCTTAGTATCACGATTCTTTTCCTACTATTACCACTATTACTGATCGTACTATGACTAACTTGCCTAGCATTCCTATAGGACTCTCCGTACTATTCCTGCTATGGCTACTACTATTACTCTGGCTAGTACTACTGCTACTACTCTATGGTTACTACGGTTACTACTGCTGCTACTTTAACTAGTATAATAATCACACTACTATAATGTTATTCCTCGGAGTAGGACTACGAATCCGATTATTGTGGGTATGACTACATAGTGATTACTTTAATATTTAGAATTTAGGGATTTGGATTGTAGGGGGGTTTCGTGGTTGGGTTTAAGGATTTGTGGGGTTTGGGGATTATAGGGTTTGGGGTTCCAGGTTTGGATGGTTCGGGGTTTAAGGATTTGGGATGTGTGGGGTTTCTGGCTGGGCTTTCGGGTTTAGGGCTACGGGGGTCTGGGGTTCAGGGTTCAGGGGTGTAGGCTTTAAGGACTTGGGGTCTAGGATGTTTTTTGCTGGGCTTTGGGGTTTAGGGTTATGGGGGTCTGGGGTTCAGGTTTCAGGGCTTTAGGGAAGTCTAGGGGTTAAGGATCTGCGGGATTTCGGGATTAGGGTTTCATGGTTTAAGAGGATTTGGGGTGTAGGTGTGGTGATATTATAGGGTTGGGCGGGTTTGGGGTTTGGGTTTGAGAGGGTTTTGTGGAGTTGGTGTTTATGGATTTGGGGTCTAGGTTTAGGGATGAGGGTTTGGGCGGTTTGGGAAGGAGGGTTTGGTGTTTGGGGTTTGGCGGGTTGGGTTTTTCTGGCTTAAGGTTTCGGTGTTGGTGTTTGAGTACCAATCGTGCTCGTCGTCATCGTCTTCTGTTTGTCGTCGTCGTTGTCGTCGTCGTGGTCGTCCTGGTGCAAGAAACCCTATACCTCGTGTCGTGCTCGTCGTCCTCGTCTTTTCTTTGTCGTCGTCGTTGTCGTCGTCGTCCTCCTCGTGCTTGTGTTCGTGCTGGTCATCATCGTCGTCCTCTTCTTGTGGAATGTAACGGGCGGAGAGAACACTGCATCTCCATACCTGCAATTCGCCAAGAAAGTGGACAAAAAAGGCAACATTCATTGTGTCGAGTGTGCGGTTGCGACCTCTGACTAGGAAAGGACACGAAGCATGGAAGCAGAGGTCTGGCAACTCCTGAATTGCGCATGAATCAGCATGTCGGTAGTTTTTGGTTCCGTTGCTGCTCGATGCATAGTATGAATAAATGAGACGGACGGCGTTTACTTGGCCGGCATAATAGTCTACTGTTCAGATCATCGACTCTGCGAAAGCGTTTGAAACCGCATGTGCTAGGTTCGGCATTGCATGCGTGGATGTCGCAAACCACGGAGGGCGATGCTAGGAAAGCGTTTGAAGCCGCATGTGGCATCTTTGTTTTGGCATGCGTGGATGTCGCAAACCACGGAGGGCGATGCTAGGAAAGTGTTTGAAGTGCATGTCGCATGCAGGGTTAGAAGTGGTTCTTCTAGGTCTCACCGCAGAAGCTGTGAGTAAAGTAATTCTTTGGGAGGGTGCTCTTGTCTTGGTTACTGTCAGACTTGATGGTGTTTTCGGTGTTGTTCAACATGATTACTCTGTGTCTGTCTGCTGCTAAGCGACATTGAACTGTCCATCTGCAGAGCTTTGCTCTTTTGAAGGGCCCTCGAGACGTGTCACCACCAGCGAGGTGGACAAGTCCTGCCCCACTCTCTCCTTGCCCTGTCTGCTCTTTCGCCATGGGCAAACCGACGACTTCCGAGAAGCCTGAGCCTGCAGAGGAGACTCCTGAGCAGAAGGAGGCTTCGGCAGAGGAGGCAGTCGACAAGAAGTCCAAGGAAAACCCAACGAAGCCAAAGGCCAAGGGGAAGGCCAAGGCTAAGGCCCAGGCGAAGGTTCAGGCCAAGGCCAAGGCAAAAGGAAAAGCCAAGGCCAAGGCAAAAGCAGCTGCCAAGGGCAGTGCGAAGGCAAAAGCACAGCCCAAGAGCAAGCCCAGCAGCAAGGGCAAGGAGGAGGAAAAGGAGGCCGAGGACGAGGAGGGCAAAAACAACGACGAAAGCAAGAAGAACAAGGGCAACAAGAAGCTTGCAAGTGTGACCAGGCAGTGGAGCAAACGTGTGCTGGAAGCGGAGGGCCACGACGAGGACCAGGAGGGCGGCGAGACCGAGGAGGGCGAGGCGGACGAAAAGGAAGTCCGCGACTACGGGAAAGCGAGAAAAATGTCTCGCATGCTCAAGGCCGGCAACGTCCCCGAAGACGTTCGCAAGCTGTGGGAGTCCGCGGACCAGCAGAGCAACCCCAGGCTCTTCAAAACTGAATTGATCAATAGATTGTTTCAGGTCAACAAGAACCTTGCCTGCAATTGGAATGGTTTGGTTTTTGGGTCCTAGATTTTTTTCTGGCATGATTACTCTTTTGGGTGTGCTTTCTGCATCCACGATGACTGCTGCGACCCTTGCTTACTTTCACTTTTCTGTGTGTCTTCGTTGAAAAGAGCAGCATGCATGATTATTGTTCCGGGTGTCCTTGCTGCATCCACGATGACTGCTGCGACCCTTTTGCTTACTTTCACGTTTCTGTGTCTTCAGCAGCATGCATGATTGTTGTTCCGGGTGTCTTCTGAAACCGTCCAAAGTTGGCTATGCATGGCTACTCTTGCTTGGGTCTCAGGAGCGGCAACTACACGATGTGCACCACGAGCCCGGACTTTCAGTCGTGGAAAGCCAACACGGACACCAAGTTCTCCGAGGGCTACAGCACGGGGGAGACTTACTCCGTCATGTTGTGGAAGGTCTTCCACGGCAACGAGCAGGCCTTCACCACGGCCCTGAACCGTGGCGACGTGTACGAGCGAGGCGGCTTGTACCACACCTTGACTGTGAGGCAAGGCCGCACCAAGACCTCGACTGACACACAGCAGCTCAGTGGCGGCTGTGCTGCTTTGACCGTGGACCAGTTTGACACCCTTACTAGCTTCTTCAGTGGCAGGCCCTGGGCTTTGCAGGGCTCCCAGTCTTTTGACTCCGCCACCAACAGGGAGTCCGGCCCTGAGGCCCTTTTGTCCTCGGGGAGCTCCAGTGGGCAGCGACAGCTGGCTCTGCAAGACAAGCCAGCAGTGGAGGTGGAGGTCAAGTGGAAAGTCGTGGAGACGAACTTGACCGAGGCCAAGCAGGCCCTCGACAGGCTCCAGAGGGACGCCCAGCGCTACGTCTCCAAGGTCAAGGTTCTTGGGGACAACGACCTGTCCGAGGAGATCCACACATAGTCCTAACCCCTCTTCTAATCCCTAAAGCCTGTGTAGACATAGACACACTCATAGTTTTTGTTCTGGTTCTAGTGGTCTCAGGCAAGCAACCCATCCTTATGTCACGATCCTAAATCTGCATGGTTATTTTCATAGCAAGAAAACTTGGTTACTTTTGTCTTGACTTTTTGTCTGCGGGGTCCAGGACCTGAAGTCTGTGCTTGCCAGTCTGGCGAAGAGCCTCTCTGTCTGCGGTGACTGCTTGACGTGGAACGACAGTTGGCTTTGGATAACATTTGTTTGAACATGTGTGTTGGAAGAACAAACAGTTTGTGAGGTTTGAAAGTGCAGGGTTTTCTTTTGTTGTCCCTCCAATGTTTTCTCCCAGGAAGTGCCGGGAGGGCTCTCCAAGCAGAACGTCCAAAAGTTCATGCAGCAGCTGGGGGATGACACGGATCGAGCCAACGAGACCTTGGAGAAGGTCAAAGCAGTGGTTAAAGCGAGGGCTGACTGAGTTCGCTGTGTCTCCCAGAGATGTACCGAAGTCTAGAGTAGGACTCTTTAGAAAGGTACTTTTTATGTAGATAAGAAACATGTGTATGCTAATACTTCAGTCAAGATTTCCTGTGGCACATCTCTGGGCGCTCAGTGGGCTCTTAGGATCTGCCTTGAACTTCTCTCCAAGGCTTCAAGAAACAAAAGGGCCTTCTCACCACTTTCGGCCAGGACAGAAAAGCTCCGGGCCACTAGACACTGTGTGTGTCTGTGCTTGCGACTGGCTGGGTTGCCGTAGACACGTAGCAAAAGGCCGGGCCCGCTTCAAACCTAGAGCTGGTCTGTTTGGGTTTAGGGGTGTAGGGTTGATAAACATATGTATACAGACATAGACTTGTCTGCTTTTTGGTCGCCAGAAGCACACAGACCGCACAGCCGGGCTCCAGTCTCCTTTCTGGTGGCGTTTTGGAAAGTGTCCGAGAAGAGAGGGGTCCCTGACAGTAGTCTTCAAACCTTTCTGCCGGGGAAGAGGCTGAGACCTTGGACTTCGCCTTACTCTGCACAGCAGCAGAAAACCCAGTCAAGGTCTTCACAACTGCGAAAAAGTCAAGGTCAAAAAAGCCTCGAAGAGGGTGGCCAGAAAGAAGTTCCCTGCGACAAAGTCGGACAAGAGCCGGGGCGCCAAAATGAGCGAGATGTGCTGTCAAGTGTCGGTGGCGACCATTAGACTGCTGTGTGTGCAGCTGGCATGCTTACTTTTCTCAATATAGCTTTTATCACATGGACTTGCAATCGCTTCTGTAGTGCTTTGGCATGATTATTCCGCTTTGGCATGTTTATTTTCCAGCGGTCCAAAGCCGTGCTTGATTATTTTGGGGTTATGCACTGTGCTCTGTGCATATGTGATGGCCTCCTTACAAAAACCGTAAACCCTGCCATGTTTATTGTTCTCTTGTGTATACACGACTGTGCTTGATTATTGTTTCTTTCTGGAGTGCATCTGCCATGATTGCTTTCTTCTTCCGTGGTCAAGAAGCAACAGTCTCGCGACCCTCATGCTCAGACTCAGAGGTCTGTTTCTGTTCTGTTTCTTAATTGAGGTGAAGGAAAAGTTGTTTCTTAGTAGACCCTAAACCCACAGAAAAGCTTTTTCAGGTACAAACCAAAAAAAAACAGTGTGCAGAATCTCCGTAGCCGTTTGCGACAGAGCGATGATGGACGATGACGACGTCCCACCCCCGAAACGAAGAAAAGGAGGACAGAAACAGCGGTTGCAACAGCTGGCTCGCGAGGAAACCCCGGCGACGTCTTCTACTGCGGATTCTGGGTTGGCACAATTCCTTGAGGAGGCTTGGGCATGGGGGGACTTGACGCCGCAGCAAGTCCAGCGAATAGCTGCTCTGACGAAGAAGGACATGTTGGCAGCTGGCTTGACAGAGAGCGATGTTCCGGGCCGCCTAAAGAAGCTTGCAGAAATAGGCACTGCAGGGGCCCACTCAAACAACTGCCACAGGGACCTGATGGCTTATCTGCCTGGCAAATGCAAGCTGCCGAGGCCGTTTCAAGAGGTCCTGCCCTTCAAGACTGGACAAAGTGCTCAAGCTTTCATGCTGCCGCACGAAGTCTTTTCGGCACTTTACCACCACTATCCAGGGTACTGGCAAGCTTCCTTTCTACCTGGTGGGGTTCCAGCTTTGCAGGCTTTCTGGAAACACTTCGACAAGCATCCGTGTATGGCGGATGGGACATTGGCTGACAAAGATGACTTCAGAAAAACTTGCTTGCCTTTGGCACTACACGGCGATGCCGTCCCAACCACTGGCCTGGGCAAAGTTTGGGCCAAGCTCCTGCAGACCTTCAACTGGCACTGTATGCTCTGCAGGGGCGGCAGCAAGGCAACTTTGTTCCTGGTCTGGTCTGTGTTCGAGCAGCTTCTTGTCGCCGGTGACAATGGGACGTTGGAGACTTTCTTTCGGATCCTCAAGTGGTCCTTTACAGCCCTCTACCACGGCAAGTGGCCTTCCCACGACTGGAAAGGAAGACCGAGCCTGGCCGCATAAAGTATTCTTTTCTTCAGTCAAATATGTTTGTATATATAGATTAAGATAGATATATATATCTATGTATATATACACAGATGGTTTTGTTGCCATATGAATATTTACGAGGGTTCGCTACATGGTTACTTTTTCCTGCTCCCAAGTTTTCTTTTGTATTCGTCTGCTGCCATGATTACTGTATACTGTTCTGGCGCTTTTTTGCATCTGTCCAACCAAAGCTCAGCAAAGGTTCCCAGAGGGCTCTGTGCCTGCAAGAAAGGCTGGCGACTGGCTGGCCAATGGGTTCTGTGGAGTCCTTGTCTGCCTGCAAGGGGACTTAGAGTTCTTCGCCAAATCTTTGTCTCTCCCACGCTGGAGCAGCAATGAGAACTGTTGTCCCCTGTGCCCTGCAACCGGCTCAGGAGCTGCCATGAATTGGAGAAACTTCCGAGAGACTGCTCCGTGGGTCGGGCTCTGCTGGCGCCCGGCGAGCTGGAGGGCATTTCCTGAGAGGAGCAAATGCCCTTTGTTCGACATCCCTGCAGTGTCTGGAGCGACAGTTGCAGTGGACTATATGCATAGCAAATATCTTGGATCGGACATGTACGTGTACGGGGGCCTCTTCTACTACATGTGCTTTTACTTGATGACGGACACCCCCCAAGCCAATCTCCTCACAATTTGGAGTGAGCTCCAAGAGCTCTACCGGCTTCTCGGTGTGAAGCATCGCTATGCCTACTTCAACAGACTCACGATGTTCGTCCGCAAAAGCGGGCCCCCCAAGCTTCGGGGACGAGCAGCTGAAGTCAAGGGCCTGGCTCTGCCCATGTTGCACCTCTGGGAGAAATACATGAACGGGCAACTGCAGCTCCACAGGATGATCCTCGCCATGCTCAAGACCAACTGCACGATGGAGCTTTTGTTGGACGAGTACCGCGATGAGGACTTCTTCCCCCAGGCTGCGGCGAACCAGTTCAAGGCAGCAGCCTTCCAGATGGCTCACTTGCATGGACTCGTGGCAGACCACTTCCATGAGCAAGAAGACTGCCCCTGGCTCTGCCACACAACTGCGAAGCTGCACATGGTGTTGCACAGTGCACTGTTGGCTGGCACTGTAAATCCCAGGCTGGTTTGGTGCTTCGCCAATGAGGACTTCATGGGCATCACTCGCAAGGTGGCACAAAACTGCGTTCGTGGCACAAAGGCTGCTGCTGCCAACACAAAGATGTTGGAACACTGGCGAATAGGGATGGGGCTGCACCTGTCGTCCGTTGAGTGAAAACACAAGCGCTTTCTTTCCACTCGAAGACTTGGTCATGGTTACTTTTTCTTTTTCCTCTCAGACGGAGTAGCAAGAACGACCCTAAACCCAATCCTGCACGTGAAAACAACCCTAAATCCGAACAAAGCTTCAAGGGTGTTCAAGGCTGTTCACTGCGGGGTTCAAGCTTGTTGCACTTGTCATGGTTACTGTGGGATGGGTTTTTGGGGTTGAGTTTTAGGGACGACCCCAAACAACCCTAAATCCGAACAAAGCTTCCAGGGTGTTCAAGGCTGTTCACTGTGGGGTTCAAGTTTGTTGCTTTTGTCATGGTTACTGTGGGATGGGTTTTTGGGGTTGAGTTTTAGGGACGACCCCAAACAACCCTAAATCCCAACAAAGCTTCCAGGGTGTTCAAGGCTGTTCACTGTGGGGTTCAAGCTTGTTGCTTTTGTCATGGTTACTGTGGGATTTTTTTTTTGGGGTTGAGTTTTAGGGACGACCCGCTTCCCAATCCTACACCTGAACACCAAAAAAAATCCAAACCAAGCTTCAGGGACGTTCGTGGGTGTTCTGTCTGGGGTTCAAGTTTTTTGGAGTTGCCAGGACATTCAAGGATGTTTTGTCTGGGGTTCAAGCTTTGGAATTGCACATGGTTACTTTCCGATGCACGTCTCCTATATGAGACATGATGATGCTTGCTTTCATGTGCACTC